CAAATGCCTGCCGTACCGTGAAAGTCGTTTGTTCCGTGTAAAAACAATGATAATAACAAGTAGAGTCTCAAAACCAGAACTTGGCTTCATCATAGGCCATCGAAGCAGTCGAGAACTGCCTCACGATGGCGTCGTCTGGCCTGTGCGCGGCGGTTCTTTCGTGTAGCAGCCGACATGGAGCCCTGGGGCCAGTCGGACGACGATGTGGCGGGTGGTGAATCCCAGGCGCGCCTCTGGCTGCATGCCACCTTCTGCTGCGGCTGCCAGCGGTGTTGCTGCTGCTGCTGCTGCTGCTGCTGCTGCCACTGTGATGGAACCTGGGCTGGCGGCCGCCACCTCGCGTCGCTAAAACCGCCGCCGCGATACGCATGTTTCTCTGCGCCGTAGCTGTCCTGGCTGCCACCGCCGGGACGCTGCCGCTGCGGACGGTACTGCATCATCTCGTTGGAGAGGGCGCCGATGCCGCTGCACCTCTCGAGCTGCATGATGCCGCCCCTCGCGGGGTCCGTCACAAAGGCGTAGAGGTCGCGGCCCTCGGTTGGCTCGAAGGCCACGCCGCCAATCTCGCCAAAGAAGTCGATGGTCTGCTTGGACCGGAACGTGCAGGCGTCGATGATGTTGATGTAGTCGGCCTCCTCGGCCGCCACCAGCACGCGGCGTCCGGACCCGACGGGCGAGAAGCGGAGCGACCTCGCGCCGGCCATGTGGGTGCGGATCGTGGCCACGGGCGCGTGCCAGTTGCGCGCGTCCCAGATTTTGACGACTTGGTCCTGGAACCCCGTCGCGATGGTGTGGCCGTCGTCAGCCCAGGCGCAAGCGAAACCGTGGTCTCGGTGGCCAGGGAGCTGTCGCTCAGCCTGCGCCTTTGCGTCGGCACCGCCAAACGCTGAGCCTACGACGTTGATGCGGCTCCCGTCTGCTGGCACCACTAGCACTTCCTTTTGGTCGCCGACCATGACGCGTAGCTGGCCGTCAGGGGACACGGCAGTACAGTTGATGGGGAAGTCGAACATGGTCTCGGACAGGACGGTGTTGGTGGCAATATCCAGGATGCGCAGGCCCGCGTCGTTTGACGCGAAGCAGGCTTGTGGTGCTGACGACCGCCGTGGCATATACAGCTGCACATGGTTGGTGATGGCCGAGGAGCTTGACGTCAAGGTGCCTTCGAACTGTGACGGCTGGTCATAAGTGTCGTGGCCGAGTCGGCGCACCATGTACTCGCCAACAAAGTTGCCAGCGACCAAGACGTTGTGGGCCGCGTCCATGGTCGAGAGGGGACAGTCCGGGTTCTCGGTGCTTTTCAGCGCCGTCTCGTTGCTCTTGGATCGTGGGTCAAAGCTGTGCACCGCGGCCTGGCCGGTGTAAAAGATTTGGTTGGGCGCCGTGCAAGCGACCAGGTTTCGGAGCTGGAAGTGTGCAAGGTACCCGTTTTTCCTTATGTCCATGCGCTTAAATCGAAAGAAGTCGTCTGTGCTAGGCAGGTGGACATCGGGGTATTCGGGCTGCACGCACGCACGGCCTTGTTAGCTATGTGCCTAACGACGGCTTACCTGCCACTCCATACACGGGTCCCGGTTGGGGTAGCAAGCATCAGATGGGCAGAAAGGGGGTGCCGATAAGGAGCGCGGAACTTACCCTCCACTTGTCCGAGCCTCGCTCGTGAACAAAGTTGCGGTACGTCATGAGCCGGCGATCGCGGGCCGACTGTCTCGAGACGCCCATGGCTTCCCAGTCGATACCCTGCAGGTCGCAGCGGTCACCCTCGAGATGGCCGTACTCGACACGGAAGGGCTTGTTGGAATCAAGGAGCTGGGCACTGGCGCTGTTGAAGCACGGGCGGCTCGTATCCTCGCCGTACAAGCTCCTCAAAGCATGCCTGGGTTGACCCACCCACGAGAACACGAGGCTCTGCAGGCTCATGTTGCCGGGCGCCAGAAAGTTGGTGTTGCCTATGGCGTCCATAATGGGTATGGTGCCGCCGCCGCCGGTCGAGTGAACATGCGAACCTGACACGAGCACGGGAGGCTGCTGGTATGCTGCCTGATGGGTGGCCGTTTCGATGTGGGCGGCGTGGGCGGCCGTGTCGAAGGTGAGACCCGGCACCATTATGGGTGACGGCTCCCCTTGAGGCGTCAGTGACGGGACTGCCGAGTATGAGGCGTGCATGTATGCCTCGAGGACCGAGCTTGGCATGTCAACGAAGGGTTGCAGGGCCGACTCGTAAGCATCTTGCTCGTGGCCGTGCTCGCTCGCCGAGTCGACATCAACCTGTTCCTCATCGTCGGCCGAACTTATATCGACCTCATCGTCGTAGTCATATAACTGGGCCCCTTGGGCCGCGTGTTTTGAGGACATGCCGAGGTACTCTTGGGGTAGATGGGCTCCTCCAGACTCGTCGTCGGTATCCTCCGACAGGTAGCAGTCGAGAAAAGGAGAGTCCACCTCCTGCAAGTGCGCCGCCTGGCCTGGGAAGCCCGCGGCGGCCAAGGCCGGGTGGTCGCCGCCGTGGCCGTCGTCGTCCTCGTCGTCATCATAGTTGTTGTTGTTGTCGTGGTCGTCATGGTCGTTTTCGGAGTCGTATGTGCAAGTGAAGATGTCGCCGTATCCAGTCTCGCCATTCTCTTGGCCAAGAGGTTGCGTCCAGCCGCCAGACGCCTGGCCGTGGATCTGCGGTGGCCCAGCCTGTGCTGACTCGGGCTCTGAGGGCGCATGGTCCAGCACGGCGGACTTGGGCTGGAGCGATGGGCAGAAGGCGGCGACCGACCCTTGGGGACTCCCGGGGTCAAGCGGCGGCGTGGGGAGGGCGAGCTGGGCAGGGGCAGGGGCAGCCGTCTTCTTCCGGGGCGGGCGCCTCTTCGGAGCGGACGGGTCTGGGGTTGGTTCCGGGGTGACGGCCCAGAAGGGCTCGGGGTCGTGGAGGGGCAGCTCCATGGTCGGGGGGGGGTTTGACGCGAGGCAATTGGGCGAGTCAAAAGAGCCGGGCTTGGGCGCGCTGCATCGCGGGAGAGGGGCCAGTGGTTTGACGACGGCGGCGAGGGGCCCTGTGGTTGGGTGTGGGCTTGGCGATCGACGCAGCTTCTTATTCGCGCTCTTGATTGCTTGATGTGCTCTTGCAGCGGCCAATTCGCGGTTGCGCTCCCCTGACGGTCGTTGTTCCCCGCCCAACTGGAGCTGGGGTTGGAGCTGGGAGCTGGAGCTGCTGGAGCTGCTGGAGCTGCCGTCTGGTGCCGCTTTCTCGTGCTAGTTGGATGTCCAGGGCAACCAGAAACGGACAACCAGAAACGAGCAACCAGAAACGAGCAACCAGAAAGACGAGGCGTGCGGGTGTGGGTTGGGTGAATGGCCGAGGAAGCCCAATGGGTCTTCTTGTACGGCAAATCCTGTGGTTTTGGCTGGTGGCTGCAAGATTACCTCGTTGAGCTCGGCAAGAAAATCCGGGTCGCACGAGGCCGGGGGGATCCTAGGCGGGACCCATCGCGGGCGCACACAAAGCGGACAGGCCTCAACCCCCAGAGTTTGGCAGCAGCAGCAGCAGCAGCAGCAGCGCTGCCTGCCGTTGTGCAATTCACGCGCTACCGTGTCTTGTTCTGTCTGTCTGTCTGTCTGTCTGGCCTGCTGCTCCTGCCATGCTCCGAGGGCCAGGACGGAGAGTACGCACGGTGATTGAAGGCGGCCCACAACTGCCTGCACTGAGCCCTTTCGGGCTTGCTTGACGCTATGGAGATGGCAGGGGACCCGGCCCCTCCCCCCGTCAGATTGGCACTCGGGCCCAAGGCGCCCCACGCCCCACGCCAGAGGCTGGAATCCACCCTAGCACCGTTGGGAGAGAGAGCGCTGAGCTCAGCATTGATCGGGCTCATGCAAGTTGAGCACTTGCACTGCACTGGAGCACATATTTTCAACTTCAGGTGGCACTTCATCCTCTCTCTCTCTCTCTCTCT